ATATCATCCATGTATATTATTTTATCATGCATACCATTAGATATTCAAATATTAATCACGTATAATTTTACCTTAACCCAGATTGTCTGAAACCGATTTATAACAAAAGGATGGAGAAGAAGTCTTACATCATAACCTTGGACACAGAAATTCGATTTCAGAAGATGAGTTGCCATGCCGAATCCCATTGCTCCTAGACCAATAAAACCAATTTTATTTGGTCGTTTTGATTTTGCACTAAGTTGATTTGCCAATATTTCGGGATTGTAAGTTTCTGCATTTGCCGCATTCGCAATCTGCACGCCAAGTATTCTTTCCCAAACCTGCACAAAAGAATTGACGAGTATTGACACATGAGTGGAATATCAATTTCATTTGAGTGAAATGAGGTATACAGGAGCAAGCTTCATAACATGATGACAGTAAAATCTTAACCTTCAAACCATCAAGACCATCTGCATCTGCATGTCTAGAGCCTGTCCAAAATGCACACAAACAACCATCACTGATAATCCAGTTGAATTGAGCATCCATATAATTTAGAGCATACCTGCTAGGAATTGTTGATGAGCAGCAGCCAGGAGTGGAAGAGGGAATATAAGTGACTTGGCCGTGTCCAAAACAGTCCCCTGTAGTTGCACAAAGATTAGTTTGGAAACAATAAAAACTAAATGTCGACAAAAGGCAAGGACACCCTCCCCGCCCACTAACCCGCCTCCAAAAAAACCAAAGCCATGTAAATAAAATCGAGAGAAAAGGAAATCAAGTGGAGATGAAGAGAGAGAGAGCAAATAAAAACATTAAAGAATATTAAGATAAGGTATCTTTCAAGATTAATATGTATACCAATATATGTATGTATAAATATAAATATATATATATATAGACTGGGATCATGTGAGACCATGTTTTCGTGAGACCCGTGAGACCACCTTTTTACATTTGAAACTTCACAGCAAGACACTGTGAAGGTAACCTTCACCATGTTTTTGCTGTGAATGTTCGGATTTTTTTACCTTCACAATGTTTTGATGTGAAGTTTCAAGTGTAAAAATGTGGTCCCACGGGTCTCAAGGAAATTGGTTGGTCTCACATGAACCCAACCCTATATATATATATATATATATATATATATATACAGAGAGAGAGAGAGAGGAAGGTTCAAACGAGAACACTAACTATTTAACAAAACAAGAAAAAAATCGTTAATGTACAAAATCACATGTGATTTTGCATTAATGTCAAAAAAATGGAAGCGGGCGACTTTTTCTACTACTTAAGTCGCGGGCAAAGTCGCACCGAATCATGTATGATTTTGTACGTGAATCATATATGATTTTGTACATTAACGACCTTTTTCTTGTTTTTTAAATAGTTAGCGTTCTCGTTTGAACCTGCCCCTATATATATACATATATATTATGGAGAGGAAAAGAGAGGGAATGAGTAAAAACAATAAAGTTTTAAGAAGAGGTATATGAAGAAGAAAAAAAGATTTAAGCCTCTATTCAACCCTTATTTTAGCTTGCCTATAGCAGGTATAAGTAAAGGATGACCATGTGGGTGAATGTCAAGATTGAAAATTTAGCAAGATGTTTTGCTACTGCCGAAAAGTAAACGTGCATCTATCTTATTCTATTTTATATATAGAGAGAGAGCGAGAGACAGAGAGGTAGGTTCATACAAAAATGGTACCTATTTAAGAAAATAAGAGAATGGCCAAAGTACGTATAAAATCACATGTGATTTTACATTAACGGCTAAAAAAGTGTGCGGGCGACCCTATGGCAGCGTGGCAAGGTCGTGTGAATCACATGTGATTTTGTACGTGATCTTAGTGTAAAATCACATGTGATGCGGTCATTCTCTTCTTTTCTTAAATAGGTCCCATTCTCGTATGAATCCGACTCTCTCTCTCTCTCTCTCTCTCTATATATATATATATATCAAATTTCATTAACATTACCACCATTACATTCGTATTTGAGTCTTTAAACAATGCTTTATTATGCTTTAGAAGTATGGTTAATTTTAGTAGGAACCAAGATTATGCGACAGTAACTGACTTTAAAGAAGTAAATTGTGTTCAAAAGTCTGGTAAGAGTCTTGCATTTGAACAAGACAGCAATAGAAGTGCATGCTTCATTCCATGAGCCTGTCCTAAAGGTTCAACTACTCACATTCAAGAGGACATACAAACGGCAATTTGCACCAAGGGTGATTAGTCCAGGTTATTTGTAAATCCAAAATGTAATTTAGAGAAGCATGTTCTTCCTTCCTTTCAGTCAAGTCATGAACTTTAAAAGCTTTGGTACGGGCATAACAGCTTAACTTTCTCAGTTCATTACTATTCTACAGCTAACAATCACCAGATTCATAATGCCAGGATTAACCAAAAAGATCAACCCACTTTGAATAAGATACTTGCTCTACTCGGTGTAAAACAAGCATGGCTAGAAGGGAAAGATAAGAAGACCATGTGACAAATGCCACATCATCTGGTTTTCATGATTCTGGCTTACTCGAGCATTATAGTTCAAGGAGATTTCACACCAAGTTCGTAAATGGCTTGATGAAAGCTTTCAAGATGATATTTTCCTTGTTCTTCTTTTGTATTTATGATCATTGTAGCTTCGTTGGCTAATGCCTTCATCTGAAAGATCTAACTGAACAGTCTTCGCTACTTTGTGCCGCAACTTAGAAGTCTTAATAAGATAAGAAGACCCATAAAAAGATCAAATAACGAAAGGCGAAAGGTCGAATAGGAATTTATAAGGCATTTGAAAGCCCATGTATCTGAGCCTAAGGGTATGTAGATTCTGCATCCAACTATGCCTGTTTGTTCATTGTTGTTTATGAACTTTCTACGGATGGTGTGGATTTCCGTTACTTGCTCTTCAGTATACACTGGTAATTAGAGGTTACTCATTAGCAGGTTGTGGGATCTTATTTCTTGTTGAACCTTTCACCATGCGAGAATGTTTCTTTAGCCTACCATATAATGTTCTGATTTGTAATATAGGATAATTGGGGAAAAGGGGGACTCAACAATAATGAGGCACATCCCTCTGAAATTGAAATATAGGCTAATTGGGGGGCCTATTAAATTTAACAATGGGGTATACCGCTTATGAAATTGAAATATGTATTCTCTTTTTATGCACACAAAATTTGACCCAAAAAAAGTAAGATAAAGCTTAGCATTGACATGCCATTTCCTTTCCTTTTCAATGTCCCTTATAGAATAAAAACTTCACCAGCTAGAAACACAGAATTTAGGTAAGTTACCAAATTTTGAGTTGAAGCATTTAAGAAGTTATCTTTGATTTGATTCCCCTGTAATAGATGTGGGATGTGATTCTTGAATATCCTGCAAATTTGAAAGGAATAAATCACCTAGTGGTTGAAGAAAGCAAAATTATGCAGCAACATGTGTGGTATTAAAGAAACAAAGGGCAAGAAAACCATAAAAAGGATATTTTTCAACAACTATAAAGGCTTTAGAGAAGTAGGAGGAATATTATTTTCTGCTATTTGTTGATTACAACATAAGGAACTATATATACAAGTAGAGGTTAGGAGATAGACTACAACTACAACACCTAACAATATGGAATAAGTGCTTATCTACAAACGTTTCCTTATTAGAGTCTATCTATAACTCTCCATTAATCCATATCCGGTTACTATTCTACACTTCCCCTCAAGCTGGATGGTATATGTCATACAATCCAAGCTTGCCTTTTAACGTGTTGAATAGTGGTAAACTTAGCGCTTTAGTGAAGATGTCAGCCACTTGTTGAGTAGTACAAATGTAAGAGACTTTCAAGATTCCCTTGTCAATTTTCTACTTGATAAAATGCCGATCCACCTCAACATGTTTTGTTCGATCATGATGAACTGGATTATGTATCATGGCGATAGCAGCTTTATTATCACACCAAATAGTCATCGGGTATTACCCAGATTCTTAGTTCACTCAATAATCTTCTTAGCCAGAGTAGCTCGTAGTTCGGCTTCAGCCTGCTTCTTGAGACCACTCCCTGCTTCTTGCTTCACCATGTGACAAGGTTGCCAAACACGTAAGAACAGTAAGCCAAGGTAGAACGCCAATCAATTTGACAACTTGCCCAACTTGCATCTGTGAATACTTCTACACTTCGATTGTCTTGTTTCTTAAACAGTAAACCATGACCTAGTTTTCCTTTAAGATACCATAGGATACGGTGAGCAGCATCAAGATGGCATTGGGATGGTGAATGCATGAATTAGCTTACATAGTTAACTGCAAACGTAATATCAGGCATGGTATGTGGTATATCACTCGATCAACAAGATGTTGGAATATCCCCTTGTCGACTAGAACCGTAGAACTAGCATCAGGTTTTAGAGGAGAATCCATAGGAGTAGAGGCGGGTCAAGAACCGAGCATCCCGGTGTTTGAGCAAGTCCAAGGTATATTTCCTTTGAGACAAGCTAATCATAGATTCCTTTCTTGCAATCTTCATGCCCAAGAAGTACCGTAATGGACCAAGGTCTTTCATTTCGAAGGAGCGAGAGCCAGATAGGCTTTGATGTTTGCGATGGCCACTGCATGATCTCTGGTAAGTATAATGTCGTCAACATATACGATTAGGATAGCGATCTTACCATGTTCTTTAAGCTAGAAAAGAGGGTGATCGGCATGGGCTTGAGCATACCCAAATTGTTTAAACTGTATAGGTGAACCGATCAAACATGTTTTCGGGGACTATTTGAGACCATAAATGGCCTTCTTGAGACGACAAACTTTATGGCTGGCATTTGGAGCATGAAAATCGGGGGTTAAGTCCATGTAGACCTCCACGGTGTAGGTTGCCATTTAGAAACGCATTTTTCACGTCTAGTTTTGATGAAAAGGCCAATTGAAGTTGGCAGCAAGTGAGAGAACCTGGATGGTATCAATTTTGGCAACCGGGGCAAATGTCTCCTGATAATTGATTCCGTAAGTCTGGGTGTAGCCTTTTGCTACTAACCGAGCCATGTATCTTTTAATAGAGTCATCACTTTTGTACTTAACCGTGAACACCCATTTACAGCCAACTGAGATCTTCCCGTGTGAGTGCTCAACCACTACCCATGTACCATTTTTTTAAAGGGAAAGAAGTTCTTCGAATACTGCAGCCTGCCACTTACTCTCTTGCAAAGCTTCATGAATATTGGTTGGCTTTTTTGTTAAAAACAAATTCGAAACAAGAGCCTTCATAGGCGAGGCTAGATTAGCATAGCCAAGAAAATCAGAAATAGGATGTTGAGTGCAAGAGCGCGAACCTTTTCTAAATGCAATCAGTATATCAAGATCAGATTTCGAAGGCAACTCTTGGTAACCTTAGACTTTGGAGTAACTCCTTTCCTTCGGCTGTATGTGATTAGGAAGGACTCAACTTGGCTTGTAGGTTTTGGGACAGGTTGTGGGGTAGTTGTTGATGGAGAGATAGGGTCGGTTGTTTCTGGAATTGTGGGTTTAGGTGAGGTGGTTTCTAATTGGTTCTTTGGTGAGGTGATTGGAGAATCGAAAGCCCAAAATTGTTCCCAGGTTTCGGCTCCTATAGGAAGGGATACTTCGGCTCCTGGTTAGATTGAGGAGAGTAATAGAATTGATCTTCAAGAAAGGTCATATCGTGTGAAACGAAGTTTTTTTTTTCCTTTGGATAGTGGCATCGATATCCCCTTTGGAAGGAGGAATAACCAAGAAAGACATCTTTCACACTCCTTGGGTCAAGTTTGGACCTTTTTGACTATGAACATGGGCAAAGACCGAGCAACCAAATACTCTCAGATCAAGATTGGAAGAGGCATAAGCCTTCAGGAAGGATTTTTGTAGGACGGCTAGAAGTGTTTGGAATTTTAATACCCGTGAAAGCAACCGATTAATGAGATAGCATGTTGTTAGAATTGCATCACCCCAAAAAGATTTGGGTGTATGACTTTGAAAGAGTAGGGATCGTGCTACCTCTAGCAAGTGACGGTTTTTTCTTACTGAAACACCATTTTGTTGAAGGGTATTAGCGCACGAGATTTGGTGTATAATACCATGTCTTGTGGTAAAGCTAGACATGGCCGAATTGGAATACTCGGTGCCATTGTCTGTTCGAAGGATTTTGATCTTTGCATCATATTGTGTAAAGATCATCAAATGGAGCTTTTCAAAGATACTAACAACTTCAGCTTTGTCATGTAAAAGATAAATCCAACAAACTCGAGTATGATCAGCGATGAATGAGATAAACCATCTTTTATTAGAAATTGACAGGATTTTTGAAGGACCCCATACATCACTATGAACTAAAGAAAATGCACTCGATGCACTATAAGTATGAATAGGGAACGGAATCTAGTATGTTTGGACATCTGACAGACTTCGCATGAAAAAACATTAGAATCATTAAATAAAGATGGAAATAGTTTCTTAAGGTATGAAAAACTAGGGTGGCCGAGCCTTTGATGAAGAAGAATGATTCGTTGGTGACGATTTAAGGTAGTAGATCCATGAACTAGAAAGCTTGTGGCAGATTCGGATGGAAGGAATTAGTATAATCCAGAAGTCCTTTTAGCATGACCAATCATCTTCCCCGATACCTGATCCTAAAAAATACAAATGTATAGAAAAATTAGCCAGACACTTGGAATCTGAGGTCAGACGGCCAATAGAGATAAGATTGTACGACTGTTTAGGTATAAATAGAACATCATGGATAATCAGGTAGAGTGTAAGTTCACTGTGCCAATTCCTTCAGTAGAAGCTATAGAACCATCTGCTAAAGTGATTGTTCTCACAACTCGGCAAGGCTTTAAGGATTAAAAGACAGACTTATTACCAGACATGTGTTCTGAAGCTCCAGAATCCACAATCCATGACTCACCTGGAATATCTTCGGTTTGTTGGTTACCACGAGCCATAAATGAGGTTGAAGACATTAAGAGTTGCCCAATTTGTTCAAGTTGTGCCTTGGAAAAAACAGCCTCCATAGGCTTGGAGGAAGAAGAAGATCCTGATCTTTGGGTTGCTGGATTTCCTTTACTTTCTAGCTTAAATTGGCTCAGAGGTAGCCAATCAGCAGGTTTCCATGGAGTTTCCAACAAGTACTATTTGTATGATAGGACGTTGATAGTGGTCACACCAGAAAGTAGGCTTGCAAGGTCCACGGTCATGTGCAACCATGGCAGGAGTTTCAGACTCGATGTGTGTTTCAATAAGAACTGGACTTGTCATCATGGTCCTTTTTTGATGTTCTTCTCGGAGAACTTTGGCAAAGATGGCATCGATTACTGGTAGGGGTTTAATGCTGAGAATACATCCTCGGACATCATCAAATGAAGAATCAAGACCGGCAAAGAAATCATAGGTTCTTTCTTTGGTAAGCATCTTCTTGTATAACTCAGCATCTACTGGATCCTTCCACTCAGGTAGAGAAAAAAGATCCAATTCTCGCCAAAGTTTAGTTAACACATTAAAGTAGTAACATTACCGGTATCTTGTCTCAGAACATCTGTGAGGAGTCTTCGAGATCTGGATAGGTGCGAGCAACAGCATCCCAGATAGATTTTGTCGTAAGGTAAATGAGGTAAATTTCTACAATGCTGCTACCTTGCATCAAGTTGATGAGCCATGCCATAACCATGGAGTTCTGAATATCTCATTCAGCAAACAAGGGATCTGTGGGTAAGGGTTTTTCAATGGAGCCATCAACGTATCCATGCTTCCCACGAATAACGAGTTGGAGAGATCAAGACCATTGAAGATAGTTCGATCTGGACAGCTTAAAGCTTGTAATTTGAGAGATAGATTGTTTTCGGAATTGGAAGCATTAGGAATGCTTTTTGACTGCTTTGATTTTTCTGGGTCTGATCCCATGGTGTTTGTCAACTAAACACTTTTCATGCCAGAGTTACTATTTACACCGGAGTAATGTTCACGACAGAAACACTGTTCACATCAGAAACACTGTGAAGAGAAGAAACACTATTGCCGACGAAGTTACTGTTCATGCTAGAGTTGCTGTTCACGTCACAGTTACTGTTCACGCCGGGGCTTTTAAGAAAAAGAATCAAAAGAGCTCTGATACCGTAAAATCTCTAGAGAAGCAGGAGGAATATTATTTTCTGCTATTTGTTGATTACAGCATAAGGAACTATATATACAAGTAGAGGTTAGGAGATAGACTATACTACAACTCCTAACAATATGGGTTAAGCGCTTGTCTACAAACGTTTCCTTGTTAGATTCTATCTATAACTCTCCATTAATCCATATCCGATTACTATTCTACAAACTATCTCTAAGATGCCATCAAAAATGCAATGTTGTAGTGAAAATGAGATCTGGGGATTGTTTGAAGACGAAAGAAAAGAGAGCAGTCATTGAGGACCTGAGAAAAAAACCCGTTTATTTGTACCCAACAAGTAAAGATAACGAAATAGCTTTCAATCAATGCTGTCTTGTCTATCCTTACTTGTAGCTCTTGAGATTGCTAATGAAATTTTATTAGAGCTACCTAGTAGATAGTTTCACTGATCTCTTATACTAATATGAAAACAAGAGGCTTTCAAGCTTTCTTTTAGCCGGAGAAGAGGCCAGTCAGTCCCAATGCCTGATTCAAAAAATACATCCATTCACCCAATAGAGCTAGCCACGAAGCTCAGGCTAGCTATCTCCTAACCTCTCCCTTCCAAGTTGCAGCACGAAGTAGTGAAGACTGTTTATTTGGATTTTCAGATGCTCTAGAAACAATTACATGTAGCCCATCAGCTTACATAACCATCCTTACTACAACACTTAGCACCCTCCTTGCATCAAATGCTCACAGATGAATTATCATATCCTTGGTTATATCATCGGTGAGCAAACCAGGATGCTAACAAGCATCAACTAAACTGGACCTTCGACATGATTGGAACATCTCAAAGCTATTATCTGCTATCATATTGGAGACCAACTACATCAAGACATTACCAAAAGATAAAAAATAAATAAATAACTCCTGTATTAAGGTTCACCATCCTTAAATAAATGGACATTCTCATCCACAGGCCTTCACATTCCATATGCCTCCCTAAGGCATGATTTTAAACAAGCAATGTATCACAAAACCACACAAAAACCAAAACTGGCACACCTTTGACATCAACTGTGACATCCAAAAACAATATGCTTCTTGACAGTGATAAAGCTAATCCAACGACCTTAATATAAATCGAAAAATAGCATGAACTAGTGAAATGCACATGTACAGCTATTGCTAGATTCCAAAGGCCCTAAGCTTCATCCAAACAAATTCTAACACACAAACACATACATACACATAATATATATCGACTATAAATATCATGAGTAAAATTGACATCAGGAAATGAATATCTGAACCCGGTTAGCCAAAATGACATCATCAAGGTGAAAGTACCAGAGTGACATAGATCTTTGAGAGATCTGACTCATTCATGTCACTGAGTTCTTGGTTGTATTCCCTCCACCCAAAATATCAAGATTGCATTAACAAGATGCACTTGCGTAAGTTATACATGTTTTTTATCATAAATTCAATGTATTATAATTCAATAAATTTCTCATTTCCTAATCTGTAGTACAACTCTTTCAGTTTCAGCACATACATCTTGGTCAACATGAAGAAAACAACTAGATGATTTTAGTCTTCCCCCTTGAATAAAAGCAATCATATAGAAAGCATGATTTTCTGCTGTGTCTTGAATAAATACACCAATGGACAACGAATAGTTAGTGAGCGCACAATGTATTATTAAGTGTTTGCAAAACTTGTAGAATTCTTAGAAGATGCCGTCGCCATCTCTAACTTTTAAATAGATGGTAATGCAACAAAGGAATCCTCTTTTTCTGTCATTGATCATCAGCAACATATCATAGTGGCAGGTTCACTACCTATGAATTCATAGAGAAGTGTTGAGCAACACAAAAGCACCAATGCAATACTCACAGGGAGGCACATCTTTTAATCTATTCAACAACAAACATGATATGAGAAGCAGAGTACTAAATGAAGTTGACTGGCAACTCTTCTTGGTTTATCAAAGAAACTGTAGGTATGAACAGGCTCTTACAAGAAAAAAAATCAAGATATGATTAGCATCAGATATGACAATATACATAAAGTGAAGTCTAAAATACCAAAGTCTTTGATAATACTGTGAAATTCTTTTAAGATGAACCATGTTGGATGAAACCATTTAAATTAATGCACAATAAAATTTAGTTGAATCGATAATAGTTACTAAATCTACCATGAGTTTCCGGCAGCGTTCGATATAATGTCGTATAATATCCAAGGATGAATCCCAGCTTGAACACCAAGAGAAATGGCCTCCACAGAAGAAACAAAATGGATGCCCTCAAGCAACTCAATTACCATTTTGAATTTTCTGAGAAGAAACAAGGAATGAAATCATCAATCACAGAAATCAAATATCACACATAGAACAAGTTAATTTTAAGTGTAACTGGTTCCAAATCACATTTACAGATTCAATTACTTTATCGACAGAACTTGGACAGATCCAACGGTACCAATCAACCGTCTTAAGGCGACTCTGGGCACAATAATTATTGTTATTCGAAAAGAAGAGAAAAGAAAAAAACTGGACGAATGATATATAATTTGCTTATAAGATTAACAAAAATCTTCAACAACATTCTAAGCTAGAAATCGATATAACTGATTCATTTACAGAATCTTTCCATCCTTTTTACCCTCCTTGAATCACCTGCATCAACCAACATCATTCGCTACAAGCAACCATTCTTTTGTTGCTTTAATTCTATTCAGTAGAGATTGGAACGAGATCATTAGAATCAAAAATTGACTGAGAAAGAAGCTAGATCAGGATCTAGGTTCGATTGTGCGTGCATGCTTCAGTATGATCTTAACAAAGTTTATTGAATTGAAGATACAAAAAATGGAAGTACCTGGACTGATCATTGGTCATATTTGCGAGATAATCCATTTGGAGAGAAGAAATCGGGTTGAAAATGAAGAAATCGGGTTGAATATGAAGAGTAGATTTGACTGATTAGAGATTAACTGGGAAAGCTGACATGGAGGAATAAGCCAGAGGATAGTAGTAGGTAGGTAGGTAGTCCGTATTCGTCTCTTCACGTCACGTGAATTAAATGGGCCTTATTTAAAAGGTACGCTAATGGCACCTTTATTATGTGCTAATGTCATTTTTAAGTAGCTTTTCATCATTGATGTTTTATAATTTTTTGTATTTTTTTGATTTTTTGTGATTATTATTTTTTATTTTATTATTAATTAAAAAAATTTTAATTAATA